ATATTATTACAATTGCAACAAATCAAAATTATACAACTCCTAGTAAGTACTGCTGGCTTATTTTTTTATTTGTTACAGTGATTCCCCTTTTATATTATGTTTTAAATTCTTATCCTGGAGAATTCGTCACTTTGACAACACTTTCATGCTGTAAGAGCACATGTTAGACGGACACAGTTGACTACAATTTTTTCTTCAAAATCTAGTAAGTACGAGTGTTTCTTTTATTTCACATAATCATAATTTCGGTAATAAAAATGTTGAATGTTATAATTAATGTTTGACACTCAAATTATATGAGCTTATGTTTGATAATTGTCCTAAATAGCATGAAAAAATGGTATGTTGCCATTTGGCAACAGTGCGTCTATGTGGTTAAGTTAAAAAAAAAAAAATTTTTTTTGCCAAAGGGAAAAATACCAGTTTATAAGCTATTTGAATTATGCTTTATTTATGAAATATCTATACATATCTAATATAAATGTTTGCCTTTTATATACGCATCAAATTTTACAATTCTTTTTACAAAAAAATAAAGAAAGAAATAAAACTAATAGATAATATACACTATTTACTGCAATTAATTTGTTTGTGTGGAATCATTATTTTCCCATGGTTTTTTTTTTCTCTAGAATTCAAATATCCCAATATTAAAAGCATTCATTGAGTCATTACGCTTTTATGGGAAAAATAAAGATGTACATGTTCGTGCTATTCCTGAGGACTCAGATGATAGTGAGCTATCTTCAGGAGATGATGAGACATAGATCAAATTTTTACTCCAGAGCACAATAGTGATTCAGATGTGTTGACATACAATTTTTTAATTGTATTTTATCTCTAATAATTTTTTAATAATTAATCAAGCCAAAAGTTAAAATGAACAGGGAAAAATAATAATAAAATTTGCATTTTCAGACTCAACCATATCAGAATCAGAGAGTGAAACTATTGAAACACCTTCTTTAGATACTGCAGTCTTGATCCCCGAACAGCACAAACCAATAGTAATAGTCTCCAATTCAACAAACACTCCACGGTTCGTTACAATATATAAGTTTAATATGCCTCTTCAACATGACAATCAGTGCACTTCACTATACAGCTTGTAAACGTTCAACTTCACAGTCTATCTCGTTGAAATCCTCACACATAGAAACATCACACAAGAAGCTGTGTCTTGACAGTGCACAACGGCCATCTCTGTTCTTCAACAACAATGAAAACTAACGCGTCATTTCCCCTTACACAATTACGTCACAACACTCTCACACCCACGATACAGCTACACATAAAATCTCTAACTAAACATCTTTTCCCTATCAAACATGAAAACAATGATTTACACATAACAACAGTGATTCTCATACCTTTGACACCAAACACAGGCAAACGTATTCACAATAAATTTTGGTTAGGCGCCAAAGAGATGATGCAGACTTCGTTCTTCGGGAGCCTGGACAGATGGTTGTCGCCAAGGAATCAAAAAACCCTATAAACTATTTTAGGGAAATTATTGTTAAACAAATAATGAACCTATTTGTTGAACAATCAAACATATACAGTGCTCAGAATAATATGAACCAACCATTAAATTTTGATGCTTGTAAACTGGAGCAGTTTATTGGAGTTTTATTTATGATGAGCATAGTGCAAATACCGAAAGCCAGGTCTTACTGGGGAACTGATACCCGTTACGACAAGGTGGCTGACGTTATCAGTGAAAAATGAATTTCACCAAATCAAAGCAAACCTACACTGCAGCAACAACAATGGAAGAGAGTAAAACTACACAGATAATATTTTTAAAGCACGACCATGTATTAACTTGTTTAGGGAGAATGTTACAAGCCTATTGCCTAAGGAAAAAAAAATGAGCATTGATGAAAAAATGGTGCCTTTAGAAGGAAGATGTTCTTTGAAACAATATACCCCGATGAAACTTTAAAAAAATGGGGCTATAAAATGTTTGTGTGTTGCTCTCTAACTGGAATGATCAATAACTTTGAATTTTACTGCGGATAAATACTTCCATGTCAAGCCAACCAGATATAGGAGCTTCAGAAAACATTGTGCTCCGTCTCCTAACCAATATTCCAAGAAAACAATTGGCACACAGTTTATTTTGACAATTGATTCAATTCCACGGAGCTGCAGATAGTGCTATAAAAGCAAGGCATTGCAGCTATTGGCACTGTAAGGTCTGATAGGCTTAAAAATTGCATACTGCCTTCAGATAAAGACTTGTCAAGAAATTGAAGGGTCTTCGCAATTCTGAAAAACTGCCACTATGATGGTGTTGATCTGTTTGCAGTCCAATGGGTTGACAAATAAAACAGTAAATAAAGGCAGTACATTTGCTGCTATTGAGCCCATGAAACTGGTCAAAAGGTGGGACAAAAACGCTAAAATGTAAATCGAGGTAATGAGTCCCTCGGTAATCACGATTTACAATAAATTCATGGCTGGTGTGGGTCGTCTCGATTCACTTTTGGCCTAATACAGGATACCAGTAAGGTAAAAAAATGTTACTATCGTATCATCTTCCAATTTCTGAATATGGCAGTTGTGCAGGCATGGCTGATCTGTAGGGCTGATTGTACTTATGCTGATTTGGACCCCAAAAATCTCCTTGCTCTACTTGAGTTCAAGACCAAGAGCGAAATATGCCAAAAGAAAGAATTTAAAGCAGGATTTAGTAGGAAGCGTGGCCGTCCTTCTTTAGATATAGAGCCTCAACCTGTAGCCAACAAACTGAGAGGTCTTACTGCAGCTGTTCCATCCTTACCAGTAAGAGCTGACTGTATTGGGCATTTTCCTGAGCCACTTGAATGCAAAGGAAGATGCAAGAAACCATGTTGCGAAGGATTCTTCAGAACAAAATATGAAAAATGTAATGTTCACCTTTGCATAAAGCAAAATTCAAACTGCTTCAAACAGTTCCAGCAGCCTTAAAGCTGCATTTTTCATATGTACGTATTTAATGTCCTGCCTATATGTATTGTTATATTATTGATGACTTGATTTTCTATATTTTTATGTATAAAATGCTTATAAAATATGATTCTAATAATGATCTTTTTCATTATATAAAAGCTTGATATGAAGATCTGCTTGTAAGCTAAGTATTGATTACAATTGTTTGTGTAAACGTTTTCTTTTTTCGTTTAGTTTTAATTTTCTTATCTTTTAGACGCACTGTTGCCATATTATGGCAACATATCCATATCAATAAAATCATGATGTTATTTTAAAATTTATTTTTCTAGCATTTTATTTTTGTTTAAAGCCAATAACTTTAACGAATGTAATCAGATATTTTTTCCATAAAAAACTAATATTGCGTAATGGAGGGATATAAAAATGTTACGGCCAAAGCCCGAAATTCGGCCACTTCCTGAATTGGCCGGCCATTTCACACTTTAGCCGAGGCGTGTGGCCAATGTCCGATGTACTGGAAATTGCCAGTGTATATGGTACTTTAGCCGGCCACTTCTCGAAGTGCGGGATATCAATGGCCAATATTTGATGTGTTGATGCAAGACTAATAACAATGCGAACAGATTGTGTGTAGTGTGTGTTAAAGAGTTTTATTCAGCCCATTCTTGTGGATGGATTCTGCGGCAACGATGTCCACGCAATTTTTGGATTAAATAATGAAGCAGACGAATGGTACGGATTGAAAATCACTTGCAGACTATTTCATAATTTTGCAGGACCAGCCTTTCGTGTGTGCGACCTCGCACAGGGCGCCGTTACCGTAGGGGCACCTGGGGCGCCCAGTAAATATTTAAAAGTCGAGAAACGGTATTCTAACCGTTCGTACAATCGCTGTTCATGCAATGAGTTTTCATACAGTGAAAGTTACATTCTTAATGTGAATACTAACACTGGGGTTGGGACCAACCGAAAGGGTGTGAAAATTATGGAAAGGGGCGCCGAACTGGGGCTTCGCACAGGGCGAAACTTTACCTAAGGCAGGCGATGGTTGCATTCTTTCTGGCAACTGACTCTTAATAATCATATTCCTCACATATGTCGCTCCGCGTACACCTCTATCCACAACTACCTTACAGTTAGCGCAACAAAAACACTATTCTGTTCTCTAGTTCTCTCTCGTCTTGACTGTTGTAAGTCTCCTCTGTCAGGTTCATTAAAACATTTCATAGAAAAACTGCAGAAAGTTCAAACCTCAGCTGCTAGGTTAGTTCTATAGCCAATGAAACGTGAACACTCCATGCAAATGCTCCAAAGCAAGTGCTTCACAAATCATTGTAAATGTAAAAATAACAAACTGCTCTGTAATTTGAAAGATCATAAAAGATCATATTAGTGTAACAAGGTATGATAGAGATTGATAATTTAATAAAAATAAAGAGTAATTTAAATTAATTTACTATTATAAACTAATTTGACTTATTTGGTAATTTAGTATAATTAAAAATCAATATAATGTGATTATCATTTGTGTAAACAAACTCTGCTCATAACCCTTTTCTTCCGACTTTGGCTGATTACCCCATGCCATTTCGCAAACTGGCTGGCCAAATAGAGAAATCAAGAAAATATCGGATATTGGCTGGTTAGTGTGAGGCGATGTTGGTCATTTCCCGATTTGGCCGATTTCGGGCTTTGGCCGTAACATATGTTTATATATATATATATATATATATAATATATATATATATATATCTTACCTAAAATAAAAGAAAGTAATAAGAATGTGAACAAGTTCCTGACAAAATAAAAAATAAGAAGCAGGAGTAAAATTTAAAAACCAAAGAGATTACACTATTATTGAAGCTTAACCTATATTGTTTTATTTACACAACTTGTTGGTGTCTCAGGAATGTATTTGAAAGTTTCATTGCCGTCAAACACTCTTATTATTTCTAGATCGTTTTGTGCTTAAAATGCATCAATAGGATTTCATGTTTATGTTTTTACAGTGCATACAAAATGTACGCTGTTGTTTACCGAGTCAATAGAAGTTTGCATACCTTCTTTACAATATGGAAGCTTTTTTCCTATAGTAGCACAACTGGTACAATTTCCGTCTTCGCCGTCACATTGACCTGAACATATACTGCATTGATTTCTGCAGTCGATTCCAAAGTAGCCAGCATCACATACTATAAAGTCGAAAATAAACAAATGCAAAATTACAAAAATTAATGGAAATATTAGCGTAGACAAAGATGTTTTAAACCTGTCACAAGAGCGGCTGATAGCTTTAAAAAACCCAACACTTCAGCAACAACAATGGAAGAGAGTATTACACTTATTTGAATAAAAAAAGAGAAACTAATTATTGAGGCAATCGTAGTCACATTAGAAATTAAAACTTGCAACCAATGGAGCTGATGATCCTAAAAGCTCGTCACAATTAAAAAAAATCAAATGAAATTTACAGGTTGTGGAAAATAAGGGGTAATAATTTAAAAGTAACTTAGTTGCCAGAAAAGCTGATAACTTGAAATTAAAATTTAAAGAAAAGAAAACTTCTCAGCTACCCTAAAAAAGGAGGGGTGGGTATGTTTGATACCAGTGTTTAAGAACTTCAGAGGCAAACATGCGCATGAAGTAATTGACAAATCAATTAGGAAAAGTTAATGTATACTTACTTTTGTTACATCCTTGTCCATAGTATCCAGCCTTACATCCAGATGGACAGTTTCCTGTACTAACAAAACACTTTTCACCATGTACGTCACAGCTACAGTTGTACTCACAGTCACGACCATATGTCAACGGATCTCTTGAACACACTGAGTCTGAGAATAAGATATAGCGTGAAAAAGTGAAACTTCTAATATATAGATTTATAACAAAACGTGTCCCAGTTTATTACGATACAAATTTTATATTTTTCCCCTTAAGGGGGATTTTCCCTGTAATTAATGTGTGAAAACAACTGTGACTGTAAATTTGTATTATGCGTGCTCCCGGTTGTTGTGGAAAACAAACTAAAATACTAGGACCGCAAAATATAACTTATTAAATCATCAGCCATACTGATTCCCTGCGTAGGAAAATTGTAACGGTCTCACACAAAAAGAACATAACTTAATTAAACAAGCCAACGTGATATATTTAATCATCATACTAAATATTAATAACAATTTTTTAATTGAAGCAGATTTTTAATCATTAAGTATTTTTATTTAATCTCTCTAGTGTACAATATAAAATCTGAAAGTGGATACATGTTTCACCGTTGCTTTCTTTTTTATACCAGATATATCTAACAGTTGACTTAAATATTTAATTGGTAAATATATTTTTAGTATTAAGCTTGTCGGAATTCGGGACACATTTCAAAAGAGTTCAACTTACGTCAAAGAAACTAAAACAAAAGAAATAAAACACATGTTCTTAGTTATAAAAAGACAGCCATGAGACTATTAAGACCCTCCACGGACCAATTGAAATTGTAACATCGGAAATTAAAAACAACACAATTCAAAACCTTTATTCAGTATAGCAGATATCCGGAAGAAAATGTATTCAAATAAATAATACCGTATTTAATGTATTCTGTACTTTAATCATTAAAGTTTATAAAAATGACAATGTTTACTATTTTTGTATAATCAATGTCACAATTACTGTAATGTTATCCACTACTGTAAATAATTAATTAAGTAAATTTCACTGGCATGTCCCTTCAAGTCTATCCAATAGATATCATTGCTAGCAATAAATTTACAATTTCATTGATGGAATGGTATCTAAATTTAATTGCTCTTAATATCTTTAGAGAACATTTCTTTGCAGGAGAAGATTCTATTCGGCTACTTTAAGCTATTACACAACCCACTTAATACCGGTATTATATCTTGTGGTCATCTCAGGGCTGTTAGGTAATTTAAAAAAGATAATAATCTGATAACAAACATCCCCAAGTGGATTTGCTGAAAATTCATCAACACGTCTTATGGGGAACATTATTACAGAGTCAGCGCGAGAGCCGAGATCACTCAAAAATTTCAAAAATATATATTGATTTTAAAAGTTCCTAAGGTTTATCATGGAGGGATGATTTTTATATAGAGACATTCTCAAGTTCTCTTTATCAATAAATACAGAATCTTTTCGTTAACTTAGTGCAATAACTTTTCACCTTTCTGAAAAATTAAAGTACAGAATAATTTTGGTAAGAAATTGCGTAACCACAACGAATACAAATACATTCGAACAGATAGTCATTTAAGAAATATATATCGACATAAAGTTTTAATGTTAACTCTTTAAATGAAAATATTAGTTGTTGTTTCTGAAATTGTATTTTGGAAAAATTTTGAGCCGTTAAACTTCAATACACTCATTCCATTCCTCATGTATGAAGTCAACTTTCATGTCTTCTACAAATTTCACCAAAAGGATCAAGTCAAGTCTCTTTGGCAAAGTGTATACTTAAAAGAAGTTGGATGCAACCAGTCTAATCACTAGATGCAATAGACGAATACATTATTTAGGTATACATTTTTGTCTCTCAAAACTCTCAGGTTAATACTGAGCTGCTGTCCTTTTCCCTAAGATTAAAGAAACCCTTCAACCCTTTGCTGCTTATCACTAATTCTAATTTCGGGTCCTTATTCGTTTAGCTTCAAGACGGCTATCCTCAATGTTTTGTTATAAAGATAATCATTATTCCCATTTTTCTTTTACCGATCTCCGTTTTTGAATGTTCCTGCCTCAAGATGATGATAATGAGATCTATTGAAGTGGAAATACCAGTGGGTACCGTATGTATGAAAGGCCGCTCATTGATCCAATTGATACACAGTTCATCTTCTAGAATGTTTCAATAACTGTATGGGGTTTAAATCTCAACCTTTCCAAACTCAATATGCGCACTCACCTCAATGGTCGGTGGTAGTTCGACAAAGAAAAAGGTGACTAGCCTGGATATTTGGAAATAAATTTGATGAAGCATTTCTCTGTATTGTGAAGTTATTGTGGGTTCTGTATCTTGGAGGTCGATCGTAGTGCGATTTTGCGGTTAGGTAAAAATGTAACCTAGACAGCTGGACAATAATGCGAGCCGTCTATTTTATTCATCTGCGTCGTCGATTCTTCCAGTCAGATTAAATAGTGAGAAAAAAATGACGAATTATACATCCAACATTTGAGAATAGAAAACGCTTTCTGGTCGTGACATTAGTTTAACGAACAAGAGTGAGATATTGGAGGTGACGGATGATGATGATGATGAGGATGTGGATGAGGTTGGTATCATATCTAAACAACCTGTTTGTCTGATCCTTTCCACCTCCTCAAATAGTGTAATGGTGTATTCTGTGTCTGTGCCTTCCATACCGGTAGTCTTTACATCATGAAATGTGACACACTGTTGAATGAGGCATTATAACATAACTTGTTGACATAATAATTCATTGATTTCTTTAGTTCCAAATTTTCCTACGCCCAATGTCGACTTGGATCATAATAATGCTCTCTTAATGTTTGAGTCAATTCTATTCGTTGCACTTGATGAAGGTTTGCATTTTACTCTCCTTACTTCTGTTACGTTAAGATGGTTTTGGTGTCGTAATCGCCGTCCATCGTTTGTCTTTTTCGTAATAGACGACTTAAGTATATCGTCCGCGTCTTCATTTTTAAAGTCAAGTTTTAAGTGTTTTTGTTGGACGGTAGACTTTGGTATATTTCACGATGGTTGTGGTGGTGTTTTTGGTTTCATTTCAACTAACACTAAAGTTGTTTTGGTACTCTGGGAGAGGATTTGTATAGAGCTGCAGTTTTTGTTGCTACTGCCTCACTTTGTCCCGTGGTGGCCAATCTTCTCCGTTTAGGAACTGTAACACTTGCATATTGATCTCTCGTAAGCAATAGTTAAATGCGTTGAGTGGAATATACGGCTTTGGGTTCACAAACTCTAATAAACAGAGATCTATCAAAATAATTTTTCGGTTTTTCGTTAAAAACCCCTGACGCATCTAAGCACGTTTACAACAGGATCCAGTAATTCTCCTATAAAACCCCTTGTTGGATGAGCTCCTACCGCATTCTGCCTGACAGTTTATTTTTTAATACGCTCTCTTAGACTGTATTTGTGACGACGCAAATGTTTCTTCTGATCAGGTGAAAGTGGGGCGTTAACTTTAGAAACAACCATGTAGGCAACATTCACATAATTTTTTTTCTGAGTTAGAGGAAAGCGTTTTTCTCAACAGCCTTCACGACAGATGGATTAGTCCGACACAAGAAGCATAACATTTCTTATTGTCTTTTACACGTTCTGAATATTTTGGATTTATTTGGGATCGTTCACAACGTATGCTCTTAATAAAAATAGAACTGGGTAATTTTGATTATCCAGTGTTTCCTGTCGAAGATTGAGTAACAAATAACCATAAAGAGGCACTGTAGCGTCTTCGAAACATTCTAGGATATACGTAACATGTGCGGGGTTAATTTGCTTTAAGAACTATCTTAAGAACCAATCAATATATCAAAGTTCATACACCCAACAAAGCCATTATTTATACATTAAAATTAAATTATAACACTTGAATAAATTTTATAAAACAAAAATTCCAATTAAATTATTCTGATTCAAGAAATGTATTAAAATTAGCACACATACTGATTAGTATCAACACAAGATTGAAACTCAACTATAATTATCAAAAAAGGGAACAAACTAGCCTGAAGATAAAACAGGAAAAAATGGTTTTAAGCAAGATCCCAAAAGTGTAAAAGTACGGGTGGAGAATTTATGACAGGGCGCGGTAGAGTACTAGAGAGATGGGCACAAAACTTTGAACGCTTACTGAATGGCTCAGGTGGAAGGTGTAAGGATGATTACACTCTACCTCAAGGAGGTAATCCTAACCCACTAGACAACCAACCAAAATTAAATGAAAGAAAATATGTGATCTTCACCATGAAAATAACAGAGCACAAGGAATAGACCTTATCTCTGTAGAACTGATAAAACAAGGTAGCAACGAACTGCATAGGCAAACACAAGACCTCATATCCAGAATCTGGCAACAGGAAGAAATGCGAATAGAATGGGACACTGCACTCATAATCCAATTTCTACAAAAAGAAATTAAGTTGAGCTGCTAAAAATACTGAAGAATCTCCCTCCTTAATTTAATGTTCAAAATCCTCACACAATTTATAGCAAAAAAAATAATTAACTTATTGAACACCATCATACTTCAAGACAATTATTTATCAAAGTATTTAGACATGTCAAGGAAAGAAAATTATTTAATTAAAATCAATTTTAACAATAATTAGTCGATTATCAGCTCTTAATCACCTCCTCCATCCTCCTTCTTGGAGACACCTTGGAGGTGCCCCTAAAAAATTAGACCTTAAATGATCATACTAGACTACTAAACCCCAAAAGGCAAAATAATCAACTTTATTTTGTAAAGAATCATACAAATTACTAAGAAAAGTTTTTGATACTTAATCTTTTCAAAGATTTAAAAAATGCCCTCCTCCATTCTTACATGCTGCTTGATTGGTCTATTAGTTTGCACTGGACTAGGACTAAATCATTAGTTATTGTGTTCAGCAGAAAATACATTTGTCTTCTTCGATTACCTGTAGTTTTCGTCAATGTTGTATTAAATTAATTTCCTCAAGTCATAAAGCTAGCAATACAGGAGACCCCACGTAACGATTTAAGTTACTAATAAATTGCTCAATTCATTTTGGTATAATACATTACACTGTGAAATTGCTTTGAAATCATATTCATTCATCAATCTCTATGGCGTTACAGTCCACATAGTGATTAGGTCTACTTTACCAACTGAATTTGTTTTCCAAGCTGGGATTTCCAGCTGCTGAAGAAATTTGTCCACATCATCCATCCATCAAAGCATAGGTGAGCCTTTGAGCTGGTTTGTTTTGAAGTCTCCAAACCTGAGATCTAATTCTTCCTGTCAGTGTGCAATGGCATTAGTTTACTTACTACTGATGGTGATAATGATGATTGAAAACTTTTATAGCGTGTGTGTCCCTGCTATTTTAGCATGCTAACAGCGCTCTGATGTCCTAACTCAATTTAATGAAACAAATTCTTTACATTTTAATTGATTTACTTTCTATTATTTTCAGTTTCTCTCAAAGATTGAGGCAAACTATTCCACGATTTAGGCGCAATAGATTCAAAAGTGCTCACTCCGTATGAATTCTTACCGTGTCCATCCGCACTGGGAACCCTCAGTAGGAATTGTGTCGAAGAGCGCAGATACTGTAAGGATACATGTTCAGAAATAAGTTCTTGAAGATATTCAGGTGCAGAGCCTTCTATACAGCTGTACACCACGGACAGAAATGTGTGTCAATGCGCTCACTGCCAGGAAGCCAGTGGAGATCTTTAATAACTCTGTTGATGAGCTCAGATTTATGTTTACTCTCGAGTCAATAAGTACTTTGCATGTTTAGAAACATCAGAGGTTTCTCTATAAAGGTGGGCTTTCCATAAGAGAAGTTTTGTGCAGAATGTCCTGTCATTGTCATAGCAAACACTTACAAGCTGCTCCTGTCCTTGTAACTTCTTGTCAAGTACAGTCACCTCCTGTGTAATGTCAACAAGAAAAGGAAAGTCCATGAGCCTTTTCGGATAACTTAGTACAGGAACAACTACCCTGTTCATCTCCAAGAAACTTTGATTTCTGCTCTAAACACTAAAATTTTTTTTAAAGATTTGTTCCTAACTAAACCAACGTACCCTGGTGAAGTAGGTAACCTCCTCATATGTTGACTATTATTCGTCTAAAAAGGCCCTGAACTGCTGTGGCTTCAATCCCATTGATCTGATATGGTTGATGAATTTCACAATGTCAAATATAACACATTGACAAACTTCAGGCATTTGTTGCAAATGGCTTTCTGATGGCAAATGCAGTGTAGAGCAACCAACTCTTTAATACTCTCCTCTTTCAGTTTTCTTTCAACATGCTCCACGATGCCATATACCATTCCGTTTCATTTATGGCGCTCAGTGAGTTATTATTCTAGCAATATTTTATCCACGTCAACCGTCATCCACAATGGCATCTCACTGCTGGCGAAATATCTCCTGAGCAGTTGTTTTGCCATGCATTGGAATCACTTTCAGCAACTCCTCAATCACTAAAAAGTATCGTTAACACCAAGGACATGTATTGCGAGCTGTGCTTTGTCAGTAACGAGTATGCATGGAAGTGTTACTTTTCTCACATAGTGGATAAAAAATGTCACCTAATAGATGTGCCACTTTGTTAGTTGAAAAGCTGATGTTGCTAAACTGACCTTTTTTTACCGGATAGACTAAACTTGTAACGTATAAAAGTTTTCTTTGAATGAAATTCCTGTTTTAGCTATCATCTCACTCAACACGTAACTAGCTTCAATTTCTGCGTCACTTTCCTTGTTTGTTTTCGTGAAAAAATCTTGCCGTCTTGGTTGACATGTTTTAAGTTTAGCAGCCCAGGCCTATCTCCCTGGTATTTTGCACACTCCTCAGCATGTCGGGTTAAATATTGACATCTCATGTTGTGCTCATTTTGCACCGCAATTTTCTTGCTGCATATAAGGCACGTCCAAATGCCCCTATGCTCAGCAAAGCAGTAGTCACGAGACTTCGCTCTTAGGAAGATTTACAAACCAGCATGATAAATGAGGCTGCAGTTTTCTGAGATTTAATTCTCAAATTATAACTGATGATATATATATCAGAGGATTGTGTGTGCTGAGTTACTGATCACGAGAAGCACTCTTCAAAATAACTTTAGAAGAGGCACATGTAGAAACCTGAACGGCCAACTGCTCTAACAGAATAAAAAGAAAAGGAGATAGCTGAACATCTGGTCGCCACATCTGTATGGGGTTTTCCTTTTTTTTTTTAAAGCACTGATCATACAAAAAGACAACTTTCCAGGCCTGCTGAAAAAGCAATCGGATGCTATAAGTGTCAATGCTGCTGACAAAATTAGGGCTGGGTTTAGAAAATCTGGAATTTACACCACAGACCCTGAACCTGTCCTGAAGCGTATTCCACACAATGATGAATATGAGGACTCAATCAACACAGCAGAAGCTGATTCCTTCCTATCTCACCTACAAGAGATGCGGTTTGCAAAGTGGATGAGGTAACGCGGAGACGGAAGCGTCGCTTTGATGTTGAGCCTGGATGATGAGGTTATAGAAAATGAAACATATGATTCTCCTTCTACTAGCAGCACAGAGAATGTAATTGCAGAGCAACCACAACATGATCTTGCTGCCAACCTTTCAGAACATAAGACAAGTAGTTCATGGACGTGAAATAAAAGTGTGCAGTGACGTATCATGGGGAAGGGGTGTAGCAAAAATTGGGATTCTTAAATGTGTGTTGGTTGAGCTCATGTTTTTTCCAGTAAGTTCACAAATTATTCTTTCGCAAAATTTTGGCGAGCAATAACTAGTTTAAAATAATTATTTAGATAACATTGTTTCAGCCGTATGTCACCAAAGTTAGTTTTTCGCTAGTGTTAAAAAAGACGGGTTTTATCAATGATCGTGTGCCTGATATTGACGTAGAAAATCATTTTTCTTCAGTTATAGTTTCATCCAATAAATGTACATTAATTTTGGCTAAACCATCGTCAAATAATTTGTCCAACAAGACATTAAAACTCAAATATTAAGCATTGCATAACCCCTAAATGCCATCCGTAGTCCCAGCCGTCACATTGCGTATCATTGTTGACAGCATTATATCCTAAATAATAATATTCAGCATATAAATGATATGAAAATAAAGAGCTTCTTGCAAACAAAGTCAAAAATTTTTTTTTATAATATGGCGATATATCCCACTAGCGAATTTAAAACTAAAACGTGTTCAAACAAAAGGCAGAATGCGGAAATATTTATGAATTATTCATGCGAAGGAACATGCTATTATTGGAAAAATATATTTTTGGATAGGCCCTCTCTACAATAGGGGCTTAAACTTGCAGCCCGCAGGACATGTGAGGCTCACAAGAGATATTTTTCCGCCCGAAACCTGACAGTAATGTTTGGTTTTAATGCGGCTCTGGTTCTGGTTCTGGTAGTGTTCGTTGCTGCATCAATATAATGACATCTGTGCAACGGTTGGGAAAGCACTGTTGCTATTCTAACAGCTCCTAGCAATTGCCAGGGCAGCCTTGAAGCTTTCGACTGATGTCGAGTTCACAACGGATTGTCCAGGTAGTTCCAAGCTATAATGGTGTGGGAAGAAAGATTGTTTATACTGAGCCGTGTTACTCCGAGGCACAGTGAAGCATTTGCCATTGTTTTTTGTGTAGTTGTTTATGGTGTTTTCAATGGCGAAATCAGTCTTCAGTGAGTCTTTGGTTCTGATCGATCGACCCAGCTACTGTGGGGTGAGGTACGTTCCTGCTGGGATGGCCGGCATAAGTCACATGACCACTTTATCTAAGAGTATCAGACTAAGTTCCTCTCGTCTGTCTTTAAGGGAGGGGATGTCAAATCTTTTTAAGAGGCCATTAACGAAGCAAGAAGTGTTGGATTTGTAGTCTCGTGCTATGAAACGCAATGCATTACGTTGAATTCGCTCTATCTTGTCCACGTCTTGTTTAAGATGAGGGTCCCAGATGATGTTATTTTTCTTTAGATGTTCATTGTAACATTTTTTTAAAGTTAAATTTCATAAACCCATTTTTCCGTCCAATTCATGAGTCACTTCAAAACTGCTCGGAGGTTATTGTGGTCATAGTAGCCGTTCATCTCTCTGTAGACAAGACAGTCATCAGCAAACAGCCTCACTTGAGATTTTACAGTATCGGGGAGGTCGTTCATGTGACAGAGGAAGAGAAGGTGGCCCAGCATTGTGCCTTGAGGAACACCTGAGTCTACGGTGGCTTCCCCTAATTAGACGCCGTCTACCACTACTTGCATGGTACGTTGTGTTAGGAATGTTGAGAGCAAGGAGTGAAGGTTGCCGGTAATGCCGTAGTGGTGGATCTTATTTAAAAAGGCTTTGTGGAACAGTATCGAAGGCATTGGAGAAGTCGGGCATTGCCATGTCGACCTGGTTACCTTCGTAATCTGAGGCAAGAAGGTCATTGGTGGTGATGACTAATTTAGTTTATTTAGAGAAACCAGAACAGAACCATGGTTTAGGTTGGTCAAAATGTTGTAGTGTTTAAGGTGGTTCATGATGTGGCGATAGATGATGTGTCCCAGGATTTTGCATTGAACGGAGGTCAGTGATATTGGGCGGTAGTTTGCTGGGTTATGACGGTAAACTTTCTTGTAGGCACTAGTGATGTTTGCATTCAGCTAGACTAGCGGGATTTTGTCGGAGTCAAGGGACTTTTGGAAAATATGTGTAATGGTTGGGACAATGTTGTCATCCAGGGTCTTCAGGACAATGTTCGGGATGCAGTCAGTTCCAGCGCTTTATTGGGCTTCAGATTTTGAGATGTTTGACTACTCCTGTTTCAGTTATGTTGATGGGGCCTGTTGTACCAGTTGAAGGGTTTAGGGATGGCATGACTGTGGTGGAGATCTTGGTGAAGACGGATTGAAACTAACTTAGGATAATTTCTCCTTTGCATTGGCCATCGCTTACAAGTTGCCCGTTTTCTAGCAAGGGACTACGCCGATGTTGTCTTGCTGCAACTCTCTTCTTCTTAGTTCCCTACGGAAATGTTTCTGGAACTGACGGTACAGGGTCCAGTTTTTGGTAGTTTGGGCTTTTTTCAATTTTCTGTTCTTTCTCTTCAGAAGTTTCTTGAGCTGTGTGTTCAGTCATGGTAGATTATATGTGTTCTTTGCTGTCGCTGATTGGACATTTTTATCTGTGCTGTTGGGTAAGGTATTTTGAATGTCGACCATACTGTATCTACATCTATTTTTTTATGATGACCTGTTCAACGGCGTGAGATCAAGTTTGATCTTGTTCCAGTTTGCCTTACCGAACTTGTCAGATTTCCTGAGTTTCTGGCGCGGTATTTCAGCTTTGGAGTAGAAGTCAGCCACTACTGCGTCATGGTCAGATATGCCTGCGACACAAGTGATTGTTTAAAGTGGGGAGGGGGGAGGGGGCTGGACGTGAAGATACGGTATAGGATGCTGTTTTGACATGTCCTTGTCGTATTTGAGTGAGGATGAGGTCAAGTCGACAAGTGAATACTGATGTCTTTGCCGGTGAAGTAGGCAGCATGCGTGTTCCAGTTTATACCGGGGCAATTGAAGTCGCCGGCAATGATGATGTCCCGAGGGTGCTTGCCTTTGGCTGTACGACTGTTGATGGACTTTTTGGAGTTCCGAATGGTCGCACTGTGTTCTTTTGGACATATAGAAGGCACCGATGTAAAAGTCTTTCTCTTTTTTTTTTTAAATTTTACCTTTGCTCATACTATTTCAAAAGCTGTGACCAAGTGCGGTTCTTCCACTGATGTAAGGGATCTGTTAATCACGATGAACACGCCGCCATCTTTTGTTGCGTGGTCATGACGATACACATTGTAATCATTCGGGACGACTTCTGAGGTTTTTATTTGGTACATGGTTGGTTCTTTCCTAGGTTTAACCCCTCTGAGCCATGACTCTGTTCCACATAGTATTTTATGCTTGGTGTAATGTATGATGGCTGCGAGCTCTTGTCTTTTTTGATTCTATGCTTTGGCAGTTGATATTTAGTAGGCGGGAGGTTTGTATTTTTGGGTTGGTCAGGTATAGAGGGGGAGATTGGAGGGTGTCCTTTATGTTCTTGGGAGCATGTGGAATGCCTTTGGGTGGAGTAGAGTGGTTGGCTGGGGTGGTTTAATTTTGGGGCACTAGTTCTAAGCGGTGAGAATGGGAAAGGCTTTACTTTAGATTTAGCGTTTTGATTGGGTGATAAAAGGGGAGAGAAAGGAGTTTGAACAGTTCAATTGATAGCTGTGAATGTGAAGCTGTCGTTGTTGATGCTGTTGCAGCGTGGAAAAGACCATGCAAAAGAGGGTTGACTTCTTTCGCCGTAGTCCGTGGATCAATTGTTGGCACATAGCATGGGGAACCATATTCCATATGTGTCGCACGCTAAGCCTTTGCTGATGCTATTGGTTGGCTCTTGGCAAAGCCCAAAATGGTGTGTGGAAGCTGTATGTCTTGGACCGGGGTTTATGATCACATTTCCACTCATGATGACATTTAAGAATGTAATAGAAGGGTTGTAGGTGGGTCTATCTAATATTATGTAGAGTTGTTTTTGTAGAGTTTTATCCATATGTCAATAGAACAGGGTTTAGTGTCCATTGCGTCAGAAGGGTGGTTTTGTCCTTTACTGGTGCAGTTGGTGACCAGGTTTGTGTTGAAGGAGGTAGGAGACTGTTTATAATAATAATAATAAAGTTCATTTCAAAAACACGCTTCATCCCCAAAGGCTCGAAGCGCGGTACAAAGTCAACAAAAAACATATCTATAATTTACCACATTTAAAACAAACGCAACACTACAAAAACTAATTACAAGCATACAATCTCAAAGTCTTTCTAGCCATTTCAACCCGGAGCAACACAGCCATTATGCATTAACTGGAAAATAAGGTAGACAATCATCCCAGAAGGTATTTGCGAAATAATTGTGTCTTTATGAACAGGTATATCATGGGTAGGAGTAGTAGTCCTCTGGGTACTCCATTGGGAGGAGTAGTAGTCCTCTGGGTACTCCATGGGGAGGACGTTGGGGAGGCATGATAGTGTTTATAGGTCACATAGGAGGAATAGGGGTTATATTGGAGCCATCAACAAGTTACTGCAAGGTTTAATGTTATCCTATGTTGGTAAATAGAAGAGATCATTCCAATCAATTCGGCGTTTTAACCTTTTACGTAGGGAATGTTTGTCAGTGTTCACTCAGTGCTTTGTTGTTGTGTTTAGTGCAAAATAAATAGTCGAATAGATACTGACACTTAGCTGCATGCCCCAACACATACAGCAGCTGATGAATTTGGAAATTCAATTTCGATTAAAACAAGTAATTTCGCTTGGTTACAATCGGAGCATATTTATATTTAAATTTTAGAGCGCTAGAGATAATTTTTTGTCACACACATGGCCTCCATCTTTAACTATCCGTGCATTTTCCCCTAATTCTCATATCTATAATTTGACCCTTCGTGACAATTTCCGCCGAATCTCCCACTAGTCTATTTTTTTTTTTTTTTGTGTAAGTTTGGACATTGATTGTATTTGTAAAAACCCGTTTTGAAATCGAATTAAAAGTTTTAAAAAATTGTATTGCACTTATAAGAAAAATATGTCCAAAGTGTGGTTTTGAGTAAACATGATTAAGAATCTTAGGTTTCTCTCAGAGAGTATTTTTGGGCTTGCTTTGAATTAAAGGTAAGGCCGACAAGGTGTTCCACGGTATATAGGTCACGGAGGTTCCCGTAGGTCCATTTGCGGCTACAGCAACGTCTACAGTGCCATTCTAAAAAGATTTCGACGTTTGTGTTTACATAATGCAAGTTTTCTTATGTTATGTTTTTATTAAATTGTATATTTGGGATACTCGGATACCCCCCCCCCACAGCTTCTATAAGATCATTCCAAGTGCAATTTAAGCAGTAGTCTTACTTTTGTCACCTAAGTCTCAACATACGGGTATTTTGATTTCAATTAATCAAGATACAGAAATTTTGGTAAGCATCATTTTTTACACCGATTTTGGGTCTTGGGGTATCAGCAAGGATGTGTTTCTTTTAACTTTCTTTTCAAACGTGTAAGTTGAATTTAAATAGAAATAAACGAAAAAAATTCATTTCAATAAACTTCATATTAACCGTATCGTTTATGACGCTAGCAATCTTAAATATATATATTAATGAATGTATGTTTGGATATCTCGTATGCGCTACTACACCAGTCATGCGATTGCGACCAAACGTTGCTGAGTTGTTGTCCACATAACTAGGCATTTAACTGAGTCATTAAAACCCTAATAAAATGTTTCATTTTCGGCCGTTGGCACTTAATTCACTTTTTTTTTTTTTTGAAATATGAGCTTTTTAAAAAAACAATTTCCGTATTCGCTCATACACCATTTATCCGATTTCGATAAAACTTTATGAGTTGTTGTTCACATAACTAGGCATTTAACTGAGTCATTAAAACCCTAATAAAATGTTTCATTTTCGGCCGTTGGCACTTAATTCACTTTTTTTTTTTGAAATATGAGCTTTTTAAAAAAACAATTTCCGTATTCGCTCATACACCATTTATCCGATTGCGATAAAACTTTGGTGAGATATTGCCAGAACGGCTGCACAGGTTTTTAAATTATTACAACCGTTACAATTTTTTTTTTGTTTTAAGCCAGTGGCCCAATGTTTTGTTTTCTGATATAAGATATACAAATATATTTTCAAAACATATGAGGTTTCTACACCATTCATGCAATTTCAACAAAACTTTGGTGAAATGTTGTTAAATAGCCCCAAATGTTATACAGTTATTATAACAGTTTTCAAATCTTCCGTTTTGGGCTGTTGACCCCAAATTCATATTTTTGTCATATACGAGATTGGTGAAAAGGAATTTCCGTATGCGCTGCTAAGCCAATTTTTTGAATCCGATAAAACTTTGGTGAGATGTTGCAAGCATACCCTTTTAGGTTTTTGAAAATTTACAACCGATTTAGAATAATCCTTTTTGAGCCAGGGGCCTCATGTTCGTTTTTTGTTCTAATATAAGCTATCAAACACAAATAGGGACATTAAATTGTGTGTGTGACATATTAAGTAGGTTTCTGAAGTAATACAACAATTCTACAATAGTCCCTTTGTTGCCAGGGGCCCTAAATTCATGAGAATTATAACTATAACTAGCAAAATACCGGCGCTTCGCAGCAGAGAGCATTTTTAAGGAAACAAAAAGTACGAAATTATCAAGTATCCGCATATTCTGGAGTTTATACAATGCATTCCCTTGCGAAACCCCCACCCCCCCCCCCCCCCCCCCCCCCCCTGCCAAACCCCCCCCCCCCCCCCCCCCCCGGCCTCAAAGCAATGCCAACTTTTTGTAGAGTCTGTCCTGTCTTTATCCCAGTAAGATACCGATCTCAGTGGATCTGATGCGCTACCGATCCCGTTAGGATATCGTTCACTGAGGGATCCCGTTCCACCTAGGGACTCTCTTTTACGATGTTATAACTTTTCCTGATCCGGATTTGAGCCCGTTACCCGATGGATTCTCGATGGTATCCTGTTCCCCTATGGAAACGCGTAACCAATGTGTCCCATTAGGATCCTGTTTCTCTATGGGATCATGCTCAGTGCGATTTTGTTTGAATAAGCTTTTAGATCTAATTACATATCCCCGTAGAATAATATAGAACATTATTGATTAAATTTAATATCCTTCATGAAACGTGTACAAATTAAATTTCTACGTAATTATTTCTCGAATGCGAAATATTTTACAACAAAATTGTGCTACTAGCTATAATACATTTAAATTGGTATGGGGGGGGGGGGTTCGTTGGGGGCCTATTTAATAATGTACCGTTTTATATATGTCTGAGATGGGGGGCGGGGACCTAGAAAATCGTTGATATAAATTATAAATGTAAAACTTGTCCAATTAAAAGTGGTTTCGGATGTTATAGACATAACTTTTTTAAATTATCGAAGTTTCTAGAAAAGTCTAGATCAGCCTTGAATTGTTTGGTAACTATATCAAACGATATGTTAAAACGGACTAAGAATGGTATTGCTACAAAGCTAGGCTTAAATCAACCTAATCTCATAGAACCTATGGTGTTGTCAACCCTATTGATATTTATATAACTTATATTCGAAAAATGAAATACAGCTCCCTGGCCGCAGAGGTATGGATATTTTCATTTCAGTACCCTTCGTTATTTGAGGATGGATAATCAAGATTATGTGTATTAAGTTTGGTCAAGATTTATCTATTCATGTAGAAGTAATGAGCCTATTGCTATTTATATTGCTTATATTAGGAAAAAAGGAAATGGGGCCCTCGGCCCCAGAGGAATGGATATTATTTGTTAAAAACCTTTCTTTATTTAAATCTGGATAATCAAATATATGTAAATTAAGTTTGGTAAAGATCCAGATATTCATGTAGCAGTATTTGGAGTAAGTTTTATTGATATATATCTTATAAGAAAAAAACAAATCAAACTTCGGGTTCCCCGATTGTGACTGTTCCAGTAGAGTTTCGAAATTAAACCTGTTTAAGTTTGTAAGTAAGCCGTAAGGAATATGTCTGCCAAATTACAGGCTTCTATCTACATGGGAAGTTGGGGGAAGTTGGAGAATATAGGTAACAAAATAAAAAAAATAAAAGGGGCCCATGGCCCCAGAGGTAAGAATATAATGAGTTATGTACCCTTCTGTATTTGAATTTGGATTATTAAGATTATGTGTACTAAGTTTGGTCAGGATCCATCTATTCCTATAGGAGTACTAAGCTTATTGCTATTTATCTAGCTTATATAAGGAAAATGAAAAGGGGCCTCGCCCCAGAGAGTTGGTTATTATAATGTGTTAAGTACCCTTCAGTATTAGAATATGGATAATCAAATGTATTTAATTTAAGTTTGTTTTAAATATCCAGATATTTATGTAGCAGTATTTGTTGTTAATTTTTTAAATAAATATGATAAAAGAAAAAAACAAATCAAAATTAAGGCCCACTGTTGTGACCGTTCTGGGTGGAGTTTCCAAATGAAACCTGATTAACTTTTGTCAGTAAGATTTTAACGCTGGAATATATGATTTATAAATTAATGTGAAGCTATACAACTGGAACTCTACTGCCAACAATGAACGTTTCTATTTTGCGAGGTTTTCATTTCAAAAGATGTGAGATCCTAACGTGTGAAGTTGATTAACAATGCGAATATCGTAAATTAATTGAATAAAATACAAACAGTGGTATTTCATTTTGTGTGTGACCTAAGAAGTTGTGTTAATTGTGAAATACCATTGCTAATAACAGATACAACATGCATTTGTAATTTTCGTCACAAAGCAATATTTTCGCTTTCAAATCAATTATGCCACCCAGACGAATAGCTATTGGTTTTTCTACACCTCAAGCACGAAAGAAAAAGACATCACGAGCTTCAAAACATTCGAGAAACATGAAGTAAGACTGGAAACACTGGAGTTCGCAATGATCAAGCCCGTTTATCTGAAACATTCGAGCAGCGAGAAGCAAGACTAGACACCACTCGAATACGCATTGCTTAAACCCGTTCATCTGAAACATTCGAGCAACCGGAAACAAGACTGGATTCCGATAGAATACGCATTTAAATCTTAACACATACCATACGATGTTAATTATGATTACATTCTTCTTACAAGTGTGGTTATTGGAAAAATGGATCAATTATGGGTGTATTGCAGTGCCCTCAAATTTAAGACTTTGCTGCATGGGTGTGAAAGTGAAATTTCCAGAATGATATGCATCATCCGAACCATTATCAACGCTGGTATAGGGTGACACAAGCTAATCGAAATTTCTTACCAAACATATGCAAATACAGTTCATGTTTCCAAATGACATCGTTCGGTGCAACAAATATCGTGCGCGATAATTACATGCCAACATTTAAAGTTCAAGGACTAATTTATCATCGTGCAGGATCTCTGATGCCACCTCCAAGCACAGATCACAAATTTCTTCAAATTTATTTGAATACTGGTGGAATACTGGTGAACTAATCGATCAACGATGTCATATCAATAATGGCACTAAACGAGAATTGTCGCTGCATTGCACGCGTTACTTTTGCAACACAACGAATTAATTCAAGTGTTCAGAAAAGCACTTTATACGATGCTGACTGATGACTACAAAATAATAGTTAGAACAGAAAAACACCTGTTGGCCAAAACGAAAGACAATACAATGCACTGACAATTGATGCACTTGCGATCGTTATAGTGGGCGAAGAATATAACTCACGTGATACAATTCTTCATCGCAGAAGTGGTGATGTTCAGCGAGTCTCAGAAACTCATCGCCCATACGATTGATTGCAATATGCTATTTTATTTTTGCAAGGAGTGTATGGGAAGTATTTCAACGTCAAATTGATAATTCCACAGACAGACGAGGAATCGAATAAGAAAGTCAGTGCCATGAAATGCTATTATAATCAAATGATGATCCGTGAGAACAACAAGAACAAAGTACAGGAGCTCCTCATTCCTGCCGAAGAAATAGGGGACTGGAACAAGCTTCCAAAAGCAACAGTTGGGAAGGCTATACTCTGTACATTTGTGTCTATTGCCTCCTGTATTCCAACCCCCAGTTCGTAACACCACTGCTGAGTCACCTTTGCAACCAGTGAAGCAACCCATTGAAACCCATGCACAGTAACATCGCAAACCCCTCTAAAACATAGGAGCCAGAATGATCAATTCATTGATCGTGGGCCCTCAAAATAAAGAAGAAGAAGAATAAGAAGAAGAGTGCTGAAAATCATATCTAGATTGCGACTATTGTTCCATCAATACATTGTTGATATGTATGCGAAAATCGAAACCGAACGACTCCTCCACATTCGAGTAAATCAAAGCAAGTTGCGTTCCGAATAGTACATTCATTTACGTGATGCAATTGTGAATAATGGCAATGTGAATCGAAATGAATTGGGGAAAATGGTTATACTACCTGCGACATTTACTGGAAGATCACGTCACATGCATGAATATGCACAAGATGCGATGTTCGCGCATAAGGCCGCCCAGATTTTTTTATTACATTTACGTGCAACCCTAAGTGCGGGGAAATACAAGAACTTTTGTTAACTGTACAATCAGCATCAGATCGTCAAGATATTACTGCTCGTGTGTTCAAACAAAAATTGAAATCTTTAATATATGTTATGGTTAATTATCATGTTTTTGGAGAGACACGTTGTTTGATGGATTCCGTTGAATGGCAAAAAAAAAAAAGGATTGCCACATGCACAAATTTTAATTTGGTGATAGAAAAAAATCAGACGAGATCAAATTGATAAAATCATTTCTGCAGAAATTCCAAATGCCAACATTGATCAAAACTTATTAGAAATCGTAACCAAAAACAAGATTCACGGTCCATGTGGCCTACTCAACAAAAATTCACCATGCATGTATGATGGGAAATGCACAAAACAATACCCAAGAGAATTAATTGTGGAGACTATCACTGGCAATGATGACTATCCACTGTATCGTAAATGATCAACTGAAGATGGTGGCAAATCAATCATTTTAAAAGTAAGAAACAATAATGCTGAAGTCGATAATCGTTGATTTGTACCGTATTCACCGTTACTCTCGAAAACTTTCAAAGCGCACATCAATGTAGAGTATTGCAATTCGGTGAAATCGATCAAAAACATTTGCAAATATGTTAACAAAGGAAGCCATAGGGCAGTTTTTGGGGTGTAAAAATTAACTGTTTCAATGTATGAAGTCTACCAATATCAGCTTGGACGCTACATTAATAGCAATGAAGCGGTATGGCGCATTCTATCCATTCCAATCCATGAACGCCATCCAACAGTTGTTTACTTAAAAGTGCACCTTGAAAACGGACAGCGCGGGTACTTCAAAACAGAAAATGCACGTGTAAGAGCAGTGTCACCTCCTTCAATAATGCTAACTGTCTTTTCTCATTGTGCGGGAAGGATATTTTTGCAAAGACGCTACTTTACTCTGAACTTCAAACGTATTACACATGGAATGCATCAGCAAAAATTTGTCAACGTCGCAAACAGAGTAAAGCATTTGAAGAAAACCCCAATTTATATTCGGCCCACGCATTAGGCAGTCTGTACACTTTTCACCTAAACAATTCACAATGCTTTTATTTGCTTATACTGTTAATCAAAGTAGGTGTACCAACATCCTTTCAATAACTGAGAACAGTAAACGGTCAAGTATGTCTCACTTATCGTGAAGCTTGCCAAGAATTAAAACTTAATGAAAACGATGCTCACTGGGACACTTCGATCTCTGAAGAAATCAAATATTGCGCAACCACAGCAAGTACGCACTTATTTGCAATCATATTGACAACGTGCTTTCCGTCCAATACAAAAGATCTTTGGGATAAATACAAAGACAACATCAGTGAAGAACCCTACAACGTTGCGTGCAGCAAATCAATATCTAGACAATAAATGTACATCAAACGTGTATAATGAGGCATTGGTTTCGATTGAGGACATATGTTTGGCATCTCTAACAAAGCACTGGTAGAGTTGGGAATGACCTCTCCGAATCAATCTGCAAACAAACTTTTTTAGTGATTTGCAACGAGAAACACACTTTGATAACCAAGAATTAGGTTCATTTGTTCCAATAAATCTTCCGGAATTTGTCCCATTGAATCTACTATTTTAAATGGAAAATGTAAAGGAGGTAATTTACTGTTGCCATGCATACCAATGATTCCAACAGATATGTCATTTGAATTTAAAATTCTGCAGTTTCTGGTGCGACTCGCGATTGCAATGATTATCTATAAAGCACAGGGACGATCGCTACAAGTGTGCGGACTAAATTTGTAAAACCCATCCTACTCCCATGGAGAGCTGTATATGGCATGCTCTCGCGTCAGAAAATCTTGTAATTTATTCGTGTATGCACCAGGCGGAAAAACAAGAAACACTTCGTGTATATAAAAGCTCTTGAAGAAACATAATTAAAATGCAAACAATTTCTTTCTTTGATTGTCATTGCAACGCATGCCGGGTACTCAATTGTGCTCAATAAAAAAAGAAATGTTATAACACACATCGTTTGGGTTCTTCAAAGAACAGATCTATTCACCCTAAGTCTAGTGTTAAGATTATCCAATGTGACGTCATTAATCTTAGGGTAAGACAACTCTTTAAAAAACCGATACCGTTTCCTCAAATTTTACCAGTATTTTGTGATTGTTTTTCTGGATTCGTTCTAAGAGTCTGGAGTCAATTTTATTTTTAATTTTTAGTTTAGCGATGTTTTTTGAAGTCATGTTTGTTTATAAGGTTTTATGAGTGTTAGTTCCAAATGCAAGGCAAAGCAAAGCCGGCATTTGACTAATTAAAAATGAAAAAAAAATGTTTAAAAATTACTTAACCCTCTACATTTTACGATTTAAAAAAAAAAAATATATCTTTTTCGATCAGAGAATTATAAACTAACTTCTTACGAATTATCTATAGATGAAGAGAAATAATCATGTCGAGTTTCGTTGTTATCCTTGTTTGATTTTCTTATGAATGATCGACCCATTTACAAACAAACATAGTCACCCATTGCTTTATATTGTATATGTGTTACTAAATTGTATAAACTTGTTACATTCTTAAAACCTATCTTTTCCATTTAATGATTGATCTATTCTGTGTTAAATGTTTAAAGAAATGCATTCAGTATGTCCTATTAAAATTGTATATCAACGTTAAATTAACAAGGTTATTAAGAAACGTATCATATTCTTCTAACTTCAAACTTACCACCAAAAATCTCCACTTCACAGAGAGTTAGGATACTGTAAGGTGATTTATATGTGGCTGTTATTTGAACCTTTGAAACTTGAGTCCATGGTTCAGTTGATAGAACGTCGTACACGTCCAAAGCTGATGTCTCAGTATCAGTGTAATTTTGGACAATCTTATGGTTTGGGTCAAACGTTGTAAGAATAAATCCTTTCAATCGTTTTAAAAGACTTCCACTTGGATCGGCACCTGTTGTTTATAAAATGAGAAATCAATTATATTTAAAGCACAAAAAAACTTAGAATTAAAAAAATACGTATTTTATTTTAGCGGTATTTAATCTCTCTCCTTAATGATATTATTCTTTTATATTAGCGGGAAGTGAGAACGTGTAGATTATTTAGTATAATTGAATAAATAAAATGTACTAGACGACCCGCGGCGTAGGATTATTCGCATAATTTGCTCATAGACGAGTGAAGACTTCGTGAAAGACACAGTTGTCCAAACTTTATTAATATTCTCATGTCCCAATCCCTTTTAAACCGAATATTTTTTAAGCAATACTTAAATTGGGTGATTTTTTTTTTTCGAAAAAAAAATATTACGCACCAAACGCAATTGCGTTATTAAGAAAATGTGTATATCATATAGCGTAGTTATCGGGGACCGTGTTGGTGTTTAACCTTTGCTGGCGAATAATTTATGTACTAGATGGAGCCCGCCAAACATTGGCGGCGTGAGCTTCCTATCTAGTAAAGTTACTTGACAAAACTTGAACTCAAGTAACGCAATTTAAAAGAATCCCAATATTTGCTACACGCTTTCTCCTATGATACGTCACTGCACACTTTTTATTTCACGCCCATGAACTCTATTAATATTCTCATGTCCCAACCACTTTTGAACCGATTTTTTTTTACACGATACTTAAATTGATACGAGTTCATTTCCGAAAAGAAAATGTTACGCATCAAACACAATTGCGTTATTAAAAAAAATATATATAAATTATATATATATATCATTTAGCGTAGTTATCGGAAATTATTTTTTACGCGCTAGTGAATGCATTATTGAACCACACTCTGGTTGTTTGACCCGTCTTGTTTGATCTTTCCCGGCTAATTATATAAGATACATATTACTAAATTTGATGTGAAATAATTAAAACCTTTATAAATATTATTTTAAATTCTTCTTTTGAAGATTTAAATAATTAAATTACTATCATGGGGACAGTGTTAGAAAAAATGTGGAAGAGTAAAGAATATTTAATTAGACGTCATCTGGCAACACAATGGGAGTCGCTTAGTCGATATATTTGTCACGTGATGAGAGTAAAAATGAGTAAGACTTCCTGTATGCTGTATACAACACACTAGTGCTTTACTACAACTAGTAATTCAAGATGCCTAGGCAATGTTCGGCTTTTTGCTATTCAAACAGTCAAGTTGAGGACAGCGGTATAAGTCTGCATAAGTTTCCGCTTAAGGATAAAGAAAATTTAAGACAAAGTCTTGACAAAGTGGACCTTCGTTAATTATTCACATGGAATCTTGTTCCAACCGGTTATTAAAATATTCCTTCGCCACACCAATTTTGAATAAAAACGCAAATGACGGCATGGGTATGTCGACATTTCGTTAAATGAAAATTAACAATAAAATAAACAAAGGGGAATGACTCCTGCACAAATATTGAATAAACACGCAAATGACGTCATGGGCACGCACGGAGCTCAACAACAGCCTGCCGATGATAGTATTGATAGTTCCCATCGAATATCGCTCACAATTTTTTCTTGAAATCACTTTATTCCTTTAATCCTAACTGACGTATATGTATTGTCACATTTATTTATTTCATTTAAAAAACGCGTGTATTCCAGAATATTTTGAAAGTTAAATTTTTTAAATAACATGACATTGGGGAAGCACTGATGAAGTAACATTTGTTGTGTGTAGCAGCCTAGTGATTGCTTACTCTCATCATGTGACCAAAAAAGGAAGTGACTAAGCGTCTCCCATTGCGATGTCTATCGTTTCGAAATTTCGATGTCTATCATTATTTAAGTATGCTCTCATGGAAACGGAACAGGAAGTCTGGTCGATCACAATCATGCCAGTGTCTCCAGTAGGTTTCGCATTCACAAAATGAAATTTAAGCGAAACTTCTTTCTTTCCGTTTTTCTATCATTTTTTAAATGTTGGTCCATCTTTTTCAAACACGGTAACTTTTAATTCTCACTAACATTTGGGGGGGGGGGGGAAAACAACCTTTTCAAAAAGGAAAAAAATTTTACTTGGTGAAGTGATACATTTCCTAAACTGCCTAACATAGTTTCAACATATAATCCTCTTTACTACTTGTTGGCGTGGGTTCAAAAACCCCTTCTGACGCTAATGTTACAATTTGAGTTGTGTCTTGAGGGAACACAGTGATAATAGTTATCTAAATTTATATAGTAGAGCATTTACTGCCACTTATACACAAGATGAAATCTCAAGTATTATAGCCCAATAAGCACTTGATCCACACAATTATTAATCCTCAGAACAAAACCCGTTCGTACATTTGTACACAGGACTTAAACTGTAATTCTATATTTGAATATTTTTTTTAAAAATATTGTTTTGCTATTTATAAAATTATTACAAATTATTGAACTTTTTGATCTGAAATCTTTTCCCGGTAAAGTTTATAATATTTTGACATCCACGATTGCTTCCAAGGAACAAAATATGCATTCAGGTAAGTGTTTTGTAGTTTAAATATTTAATTTACAGTTAGATTTCCTCTGATAATGCATTTTGAAACAATATATTTCTGTTGGGTTTTTTTGTGTGAAAATATGATTTGTTTTTTTTTATAAAAAAGATTTCAGTGTGCTACAGAATATTTGAAATAGTGGTGCACGCTAATGTTCACAGCATGCTACAAATAAGAAAAGTGCGATAATAGGTTAAACACTGATTAATAGGATTCGTACTAACTAGAGTTCGAGTTGTCTTGTGTTTGTTTATCAACGTTGTCAATTTAATAAAGTTTTATATTAAGATTTAAAATGTATATGTATTATTATTTAAAAATAATAAGGAAAAAGAGAAGTTAAGCATTAACATTTCACTTGAACTATGATTTTAATTAGAATTAGCCGTAGGGCTTACATTGTACTTAGCCTACGCTTACAGATATTCACAGAAGATTTTGAGAACATACGACTAAATCTATTTAGTCATATCTATCAATTGTATGTAATTGTCTAGGCCTAATATATAGTACACAGATCAAAGTAAAAAATGTATAAACTTTACTAATTTCACTTGTCGCTACGTTAATTTATTCTAATGACAATTAAGATATTTATCTGCCGTAAAGTTAAAGCCCAAAGTAATTTTGTTTGGTCATAATCAAAATGAGATTTGATTCCAAGCCTTCCAAATGCATTTATAATCTCTAATTAGATCTTTAAATTTAAATAATTCAATTGTGTAATTTTTAAATTATTTTTATTTTCTGTCAATAGTATATTTTCAGTGTTTCTATGTATTCCAGAAGTATAAAACATCTTTATGACTACCACACAATGAGAAACACTCGATAGAAAATGGAACCCCACATAATGAGAACCGCTTAAAATATACAAGACAACTAAAAAAATACAATAGTAATACTAATTTTAAAAACTAAAAAATACAATTAAAAGGACCCCTCCCCCCCATAATGAGAACCACTCGATAAAATACCTAACCCAACCTTGAGTACCCTTCAATTAACTTATATAACCTTATCATTTAAAAAAACCAAAAGAAGTATTGCATAAGAAGAAAAGACCCTTATGACTCACACACAATGAGAAACGCTCGTTAGAAAATGGAACCCCACAAAATGAGAACCACTTAAATATACAATTAAAATATATATATATATACTATGTACTTAAATATGATTATGATGCTACAATGACTGTTACGAAAAAATAAATAAAAGTTATAAAAACTATTCGATGCCTTGCATTTATCTGATATCATCTCCTTGTTGTCTATATTTATAATCTTTAACTTTGACATCCACTCATTAGAAAATACACAAAAGACACCATTAATTAAAATCAAATTATTATTTTGAAAACCACTCATTATTAAATTGACAACTATTCATTAGAAAATTGAGAACTCAATTAAAATACACAATTAAAATCATTGTACAACAAGGGAAATTATTCATTAAAATCAAATTTAAAAGTAATTATATGATTATCATCCCTTAATTTATCCACCATGGCCCTCCACAATCTCTACAATAAAACCCTTGAAAAACCCTTCAAATTGCGGTCCCATTCAGAAGTACTATAATACTGTCCATTATTAAAATATCTCATTATTTATCTGAAAAAATATTCGCTATTTTTTTTCTATTTTCATTTAGGTAGACCTCAAAGGACGTTCTTGTCGTTCAAGGTGATTGGAATGATACATTGGAGAAGATGCCTATGAAAACTGGTAAGTAACGTGCGTTCGCCACTGTAATGTAACCCATACTGTCCAACAAATTGAGTGCACATAAAATGTGCAGGAAAACCACTTGGCACAGCCCCAATGGGAAACACCACAACCAGATTGACTACATCATGTTGCAAACATGCTTCCTGTCTAGTATAAAGACTGCCAAGACTCACAGCTTCCCTGGAGCTTATATTGGAAGCGACCACTACATAGTCATGATGACCTATAGGCTGCATTTAAAGAAAGTAGACAAAAAAGTAAATACCAGAATCAAATTCGACTTTAAAAAACTGAAGGATCCAAAAGTAGCAGAGGCATTCCAAGCAAAAATAGGAGGGAAATTTTCAGCGCTTAACATCATAGATGCCGACTTTTCAGACATGGACACATTGATTGATAACTTCAACACAGCTGTTACGCACACAGTTCACAAATCCTTGGTAAACATCGACCAACCCGAAAACTATGGGTGACTGCTGACATACTTGATCTTTGTGATAAACGGCGGCAGTTAAAGAAAACAAAACTGATAGATACCGAGGGGTCATTAAATATAGTACAATTAACAATGCCATGAAAAAAGTATGAAAAGGGCAAAGAAGAAATTGATTGAAGAGAAATGCTACGATATTGAAAACTGCTTGGTAAATGTTTAACCAAGGAAAATAATATCATAAAACGATGGACTGAATACTGTTCAGAGCTGTATAATGAAAGTATAAAGATAAACCCAGAGATCCTTAATGTGCCTCCAGCAACAGACAATGATAACTTCACTATTCTCCGCGCAGAATTAGAAGCAGCAGTCCAGGCACTCCAAGCAGGAAAAGCCGCAGGAGCAGATAATATTCCTGCTGAGTTGGTGAAGTAAGGAGGAGAAGCAATGATACGTTCCCTCTTCAATATTTGTAACAAAATCTGGCTTACAGGAGAATGGCCCAAACCATGGACCCAATCGTTCATCGTCACCCTTCCCCAAAAGGTAACCTACAGCTATGCAAAAACTATCGCACAATTAGCCTAATAAGCTATCTAAGCAAGGTCATTCTGAAGGTCATATTGAACGACTAAAACCATATGCCGACAGAATCATTGCTGAAGAACAGGTGGGCTTGAGACAAGGACGGGGCACTACTGAGCCGATTCTAAACCTCTGAATACTGTGTGAGAAATATGCTCAACACCAACAAAACCTAAGCCACGTTTTTGTGGACTTCAAGAAAGCATTCAAACGGGTTTGGAATGCTGCTTTATGGGCCACCATGAGGCACTACAACATCAACACAAACCTCACCAGAATTATATGCAACCTCTATGATAAGGCCACCAGTACAGTCTTCGTCAACAACACATCGCAGAATGGTTCAAGACCACGGTTGGAGCACGACAAAACTGCCAGCTCTTCCTCGCCCTGTTCAACATCTTCCTATAGACAATTATGTCAAATACTCTGAAAGCGCATGAAGGGACAGTAATCATTGGTGCCAGACCAATCACCTACCTACGCTTTGCGGATGACATAGACGGACTGGATGGGAATGAAGAGGAGCTAGCCAACCTGGTAAAGTGTCACGATAAGACCTCGTCGTCCGACAGCATGCTAATCAGTGTTGATAAGACAAAACTGATGACAAATAACACCACATGCATCACCACTGAAATTAAGGTCGGGGAGGAAACACTAAAGACAGTTAGCCGCTTCTAATATCTGGGAGCAATAGTCTTAGACGAAGGCTAAAAGCCGGAACTGATGTCCAGGATTGTGCAGACTACAACAGCATTAAAGAGACTCAAGAAAATATGGAATGACAAAATATATCCCCCAGCACCAAAATTAGGCTGATGAGCTCATTAGTCCTCTCCATTTTCCTGTATGCCTGAGAATCCTGGACATTAACAGACGATGTTGAAAGGAAAATAAAAACGATAGAGGTGAGATGCTTAAGCATTTTGGCATATGCTATAGGGACCATATCTCCAATGATACAGTGAAAGAAAGCGTTCGCCAGGCAATTGGGAAATACGATGTCCTACTGATGACTGTAAAAAAAAACGCGAATTGCAATGGAACGGCAATGAAATAAGGAAACGCGGGCTTGCCAAAGAAATATTGCAATGCACCACAAGAGGAGGGAGAAGAAGAGAAAGACAGGGAAAAAGATGGGAGGATAACATTAAAGAGTGGACAGGACTGACACTGGGCGATGCTGTGCGTTGTGCAGAAGACAGAGAAGAATGGAGGAGGATGGTTCACATGTCATCTATGGCGCCCAAAATGTCCAAGGACTAAGGGACATGATGATGATGATGCTGAGACCTTAATTACAACGTCTTACTGCTGAATATGTACTGGATCACCTTGTTAATTGTGAATCTTATTAGTCCAAGTCCGATGACCCGAGTGATGAAATGTAAAGCCCTGATAATGAGGCCCATGATGATGATGAACCACATCAAAGTACTGATTACGATCATGTTGCAAATGACGAAAATAACAATGCTGGTGTCGGCCCCTCAATGCCCTGACAAATCTACCTTAAAAAATGGCGCTCTCCAAGAGAACCATTTAATCCAAATACCATATGGAAAGATCAATTTGATTATGGAATTGGATTTTCATTCCCTTGCCAATATTTTCTGGAATAATTCAAGGCTGAAACATTTGAAACATTTGTTGGGCAAACAAATATATACGGTATTATCTTATGCAAACTGGAAACATTTTAAATACTGTTGCAGAAGAGTTGCAAAATTCTTTTACAATAAGTTTTTTTTATGGGTTATTTAAAATTTCTCAGAACTAGAATGTATTGGCAAAATGCCACCAGAGTTAGCTCTGTTGCTGAAATCATGCCTGTCAATCACTATATGCAACTTCGAAGCAGCATGCACATTCATGCTGGAGAAAAAGCTCAACCAAAAGAGCTGCAAAATATCTTTTGGAAATTTTAACCGCTCGTCAAAGCAATAAGAGCTCATTGCTAACAGATGCCCAAATAATAATTAAGTTCAATCGACGAGCAGATGATTCCATTCAATTAAAGTGCCGGCAAAACAATTTATCAAAGGAAAACTACCTCCAGTTGGAGTGAAAATTTCTCTTTTTTTTGTTGCAGATCTGGACGAGCAATAGATTGTGTACTTTATCAAGGAGCAGGAAGTGGAATTCCTGGGAAAAAAAAACAACATTTGGGACTTTGCGCTTCAATTGTTCTCCGCCAAGCACAAATAATACTTCGTAACGAAAACTACAATTACTTTGTTTTAACATTTTTTTATTTTTACTGGACTTCCTCTCATTAAGGAATTAAAACGGTTAGGTATTTATTCCTTAGGAGTTGCTAAATCCAACAGAAGGATGGGATGTGTTCTGAAATCAGAAAAAGACCTGAAAAAGATTGTCGTAGATCAAATAACTGCAATGTTAGTGCAGAAGGATATATATGTATGAGCAGATGGAACGGCAATAAACCAGTTAAAATAACTTCCAGTTTTGTTGGTGTTGGACATCTTGATAAAGTTCAACGATGGAGAGTGAGTAGCATAGAATTTATTTCTGTGGACAGACCAAAATGCATATAGGTCTATGATGACTTTATGGGTGGAGTATAGAAATGAACTTTCTTATTTCAAAGTATTGGTTTAGAGCTAAAACAAGGAAATTTAATTTTGTAGACTTTGCACTTTAAAATTCATGATTACAGTATCGTGACATTGAAATTCATAATAATCAGCCTAAAACTATTTTGGATCTTCTTGGTTTAAAGAGTGAAGTTGCGGACACATTGATGAAGTCAAGCTTGGTCATACCACAGCTTTGCCGACCTGTTGGTAGACCCAAAGCACTAGCAGTTATTGATAATTTAAATACTTTAATTCCTTCTCCAAAGCAAGCAACGCTGCAGAGAGAACAGAATCAAAGGTCCGATATGATAAGTTCGGCCATTTTCCAATCTACATCAAAAAGTTAGTCCAAAGGTGCAAACTAGAAAGATGTAAAGGTCGCAGTAAGTTCATATGTAGCTTTTAATCTATGTCTGTGCTGCAATTGTGACAAAAACTAATTTTTAAAGTTTCACAGCAAATCAATTTTCTTCCGTTTTCTACCCATATTCGCATTTATTTGTCACATTTTGCTGATGTATTAATACAAATATTATGTAAAAATTCTTAAATAGTCATATTTTGGCTTAATAAATAATTAAAAATTGAAATATATTCAAAATTAAATATGAATTGCAATATTATTATGATCTTGTCAGTATGTGTTTTACTTTATTATATTGCATTGATACACAATGTATACATATGTACACATGCATTACTTTGCATATTTAATAAGCAATGGTCAAAACATTAATGTGGCCATATCAGGATGTCCCATATATTGGGTCCCAACCATTACATAATTATTGGTGATAAAATTCCGACACTGTTCGAAAGATTAAATTAAAACCTGCAGAAATACATTTTATGCATCCTCAATGTATATTTCTTTATTCATTTACTTCTTAGACATTTATTAATTAAATGTAAAATGAACGCACGTTATTATCAATTGTATACACTACTCTCTCAATTAAATTGCATGAGATACTACTTCCTCCAAAAAAATAAGTTTATAACTACAGGCTTTTCTTAAATATTCCTTCGCCCAGTGTCGTGTGCAAATATTGAAATTGCAGTGTACAAAAGAAGCATGTGTTACAGTATTCACGATATACAAACGAATGCACCCTAAAAAATATGCTGATGTTTCATTACAGTTCTTCGGCGCACATGTAGTAATGTAAACTTAAAGGTCATAGTTATAACCAATATTGTATGCTGTCAACATTGAGCTTTGGTTCACACTATCGAAATTTCCTTCAAACATTTGATGCAATTCGTGTTTGAAGGCACTATTTTGTGTGCGGATTTATGGACACAACAGAGAATTTTATTTTTCACCTTCAAGCAATTGTATGATGCGATACCCAATCGAAGACAATTTTTTTCGTTCACGTGACTTTACAGCTGATTTCTTAAAATGACAGCTATTAAAGCAAAGTGCGCTGCGGTTAAAGTTTTTGACAATACGTTATGGTCATGTTACCCACAACTTCGAATTATAAATGTCATTTATGATACTTAAAAGCTTGGCTTAATTTAATTTCACCCCCAGAAGCCTGGCACCCAAGGATTGCTCAGACGAGGACCTCTGACTGCCCTGAGCCCTGAGAATTTAAATAACAAAGTGACTATTCACAGAGCTTTGCAGATAACGCTCGTTGTTATTCACAGATTTCGGTCTGACGATAACGCTAAGCATTATTCGCAGAATGTGGTCAATTAAATCATGAATATAAAATGCATAAGTCGCTTGCAGACACCTCCTCAGTATATAGTGGTGAATATCATCACCTGTCACCCGGAAGACCGGGGTTCGATTCCCCGCCGGCAAAGCTACTTTTTACAAATAAATAATATTCTAAAAAAAAATATTTAAATGTTATTTCGTATTGTTATATTATAATTATACTCTTCATATAGCTTTATTTTCGCTTTCAGTAGGGACAAGAGCCTTGGGGACATGCTAGTTAGAAGCCACCTCCCCGCTATCATAGCACATAAGGGCACCAAAAGTTGCAACCGTAGCCATTGCAACACATAAAATAGGCCAAATCCACAATTTTACCTAGCTGCCATGTCTCTTTACTGTTTGGTTTTTACAATTTTGCTCAAATCGCTTCCTTTACACTTTTCTTTACTTTGCTTCTGTCTGTTTTTTCACCCACTCCTATCTTTTCTCCTCTCTTTTTAGGTAGATATCTGTATATATATATTACGTAAATTTAATGTATACATATTTGTCTTTTTGTTGTACTGATGAAGGCATGTGCCGAAACGTATACTTTTGTATTCTAGAAAATTATCATTAAAGCTTACCTTATTGTGTTATATTGACACAAATTGCGGGTGTGGAATTAATCTTTTTTAAGGCTTTATTCTAGTCCAACACTTTTTATAATTACTCTATTATTAGAGCCTGATCGTTATGCAACACGATGTCTTCTATATGCCTTCTGTGATTTTACGTTTATCTGCTAATTTTACTTTGGGATGATTTACTTAAAGATAAGTATCTGCAGAATCAAGGCTTTACTCTTGACAAAGTGGTGACGAGCCTAGAGGCTTTAGATTGTTTCTGCATGAGAAGCGCTGTCACTGTGTGGAACAAGCTATTGAAAATGTACTTTTAAATGGAATTTCGGTAGCGAAACACTAATGATTCAGAAGAGAATGAATGGAGAATAATTAATATTTGCTGGACTCTAGCTGCGAGAAGAAAAGAGAAGGGAGATGCGGGTGAGCATTGCTCGCTTTCATGTTGAACTCCAGATCAAATCATCATTGATCAAGGAAGATATTTTAGGTCTGTTCAACTTAAGAGTCCATTATCAACTAGTGAAAAAGTGTTATTGGTTTCCGTTCCAAAGTTAAACTTTTTCAATGATGAGTTGTAAGAGGAAGAACTTTCAAAGGAAATACGTCAGCTTAGAACCCACTAAAGGCAGGTTATATTGAATTTCACAAATTTCACAAATTTAAGAACTGGTCAGTATTTGATCTTTAGAAATGAAAGAATGAATGAATGTGACCTCCTAGAATCCAATCCAATACTCTCGCTGAGCCATAAATTGTTGTTGAATCTGTGATTCTGTGGCTTCCTGTCAACGGAGCTTGTCAAAACTGAGGCTTATCAAGACCTATTTACGATCCACCGTCACGGTTTTCTGATCTGGCTCTACTGTCAGTCTAAAGTAATAAGGTGAAGGATATTGAATTTGATCAAGGGGTTAAAAGATTTGCAACTGTGAAGATCAGGAAAGGAACTTTTAAATAAAGAAAATTGAATGTAAAAATAACTATAGTTTAACGTTGTTATTTCTTTTCCTTTTATATTTTGTCCAAATACATTTTTAAATAGAGTATTTGAATACGTTTAACTCCTGGCCTTTAATTAATTTACTTTTTTTCTTGTCATTGTTATACTGTTGAGTTATTTTAACAATATAAAATCCATTTTGGAGTGGGATGACACCATGAGTTTACCGCACGGGTACCACCAACCCTAGCTACGCCACTCATTTAACCTAGTAATATTTTAAAGTAATAATTTTAAAGACCACGTGTTCAAATGCATACCGATTTTTCCAAATAAATATCTTTATATTTAAAGCGTTTCTTACTTTAAGACCCTGAAAATTGCTACATAATGTTAAATACACATCGATCGTAAGAGCAGGAAGGCTTTAGTTATTTTCATTAACCTTTTTATGCACAGTTTATAGAAATAGTTTCAAGACATAAATAGCATGGCATTGAACTAATTGTACATAAATACCAAGTTCTACAATTTTAATACAGTTCTCGCTAGGTATCTTACACGTTAAATATGTTTTCAAATTATATTTCATGATTAAAGCATGACTATAAACCTTGCGTTTGGTTTTAATTAAAAATTGTATGACAGCCTCTTTCTTTTAAAAGTAGAGTTAGAGGTTGTTCGCAAATAGAGACCTTTTAAGGCCCCTTCCCCCTGTCACTTATTGTCACAAATTCTTTACCAAGCCCTGAAATAGTGTCACGTCACACCTAAAAAAAATCAAAACATAAATAAAATGTTCTTATGTAATCTAAGATTTTACTTTATTCTTTAACATTTTCCCGTAATCGATTAAGATGTAGTATAATTAGAAAACTGTGACGTAAAACGCAAAACAAGAAGTCCTCCCAAAGCAGAAAGTAAAAAGGCCACAACAGTTTTTGCTTCATTTTTCGATATGCACAGAAGATGTGCACGACTGAGCGTGACGTAATTTGCGAATGACCCCTTTATTGTTAACATTACTATATACTTGACTCCTTGTATGTTGAGCTAGAACAATATGAAAAATAAATACATTTTTTGTTTTGTTTTACAAAGATGAAAAATCAAATGCATGTTTCATCAATTCATTATGTACAATTTTGTCTGAAAAATTAACAAATTATAAATTGATCATGGCATTAAAAGCGTTTGTGTTTTCTTTAAATGTGCAAGTTTCGTGACAATTTTTTTCAGAGATGTTGCAAAAAACTTAGACTTTATTTATTAGATTCCAAAATGATTTTAAATTTTTAATATCACAATAAAAAATAATCTGCCCCATATTTTTCACGCACCTTAAAAAATTAAATAATTTTTTTAGACGAGTATACAGTAGAAGGCTGAATAAACGTTTATTTGAAATAGCATTGTTTGGTATTAATTTTAGAAATAATTCTTCTTCTAAAATCATCCATTTAAAATAGTTTCAATGCATTTATTGATTTTAGAAATAATTCTTCTTATAAAATCATTCATTTAAAATAGATCTAGTTTCAATGCTTTAATAATTTGTGATTTATCTGAAAAAAATCATATAAAAATAAAGTATACAATTTTACGAAATGTATTAGATTGTAATGATTATTTGGAATTTCAAACTATTATACCGGTAACTTTGACTCTTATTGACTCTTAGATATATTTTAAAACACTATTATTTGGCAAATTGATGAATTGAGCTTAGTACACATTATTCCTAAAGTATTTATGGTGTCATAATAATGAATAGAAATAGACAATGCATGTCGTTTTGACGTCACGCAAAACAATGTATATAATAAGGCATTAAAGATAGTTATTGTGTTTTTGTGAAAGTTTATTGATTTTTAAATGGAATAATTTAATGGAAGCTTCCGGCGATATGGTATTTTTATGGACTTTCGGGAGCCCTAATGGTTAAGGAGGAGATCTGAATTATCGAGATGGGGCGTAAATGTTGGATATTGATCAAAATGTAAAAAAATGATAAAAAGGAACTCTGTTGGGTAAGAATGTGAAGAATATAAGTTTGATTACAAAAGATCGATAGAAATTCGGATCATCAGGTTCGGAGAGGCTGGCTAAGAGGTTAAAGTAGTGTAATTACTTTTACATCAACAAACACTGAATCATGCGGATTAAAAATTTGAAATAAAATTTAATGAATTACATTCCTTGTAAAAAATTTGGTTCTAAACATTAGCGTAGCATGGAATCCATGAACATTAATTAAAGTACAATTCTATTTCGAAGGGCCAAGGTGGGGTCATTGTTCTGTTTAAGATTTGAGTATAACGTGTTCGAGAGATAAGATTAAAGATAGTAGTTCATGTGGGAAGAGATTAATAAATAGATTAGGGGTTTGAGATGGGAATGTGCGCATTTGATACATAGAGTTGGAAAACAATTTCTTGTTTGAGAGATTTGCAAAGAAATCGGATTGATGATGGTAGAGGAGAGGTTGTATTATGAGAGAGGTCGTATTATGAGAGATGTGGTATAGTGAGAGATGCTGTATTAGAGACATTGGGGAATAAGAGACTCTTTAGGATTATGAAAGAACGATTCTGAAGTAAGTATCAATTACGAGAATGTTAGAGTAAGAGGATAAGGACAAACATACTTTATATATTAAGGCATTCCTCGTGCTATATGAACATTCTACTTACTATCAACTCGGTTGTAGATTGTGTAACTTGCCACTGTAACGGTTGATTTAAAAAATAGCGTCCACATCGGAGCAGACTCGCCATTAGTATGTGTGCAAAAATTCCAATTAGTAATACCATCTACAGCGTTGCTGGCATGGTAGATTGAGACAGAGTAATTTGATGTTTGAGTTGTTGGCTGTTTTAAAGCAACATTTCGCCCTGGAGATAAATTGATTTAAAAAGAAACGTATTATTTTTTATTTTGAGTTATTGTGGCTTTAAATTCAATGATCTTTTCTTTCTTAATTACATGACTTCTTTGTAAAAACTATTATAGCGGCGTCTTTTAAAGGCGCACATTAAAATGCCAGTTGACATAGTCCCTTTATTTTAAATAAGGAATACTTTTTTTATGGAATATATTCGTACTTGCAACTATAACGATATTTTAATGCCTTACTCAATTCAAACTTAACAAAAAGTTTAAACTTTTTAAATATATATTTTATTTTAAATAATTGTTTGTTAATGAGAAAAATATATAAAAAACAAAATTTTTAATGTCTTTAATATGTTCTGTATGTAATAGTGGAATAAAATGTATCAATATATGTGTCAATACATTTATCAATTTTATTTTTAGTTATTATTTAAATACTTTTCATTTTCATTAAAAAAATTCACCTTTATTTTTAAAGAAATACAAATATTTACTAATTATTTAAAATTTGGTTGAGGATGATTCCATCTAGCACTACACTGATGGATTAATTATTTAAAATTATGCTTTATTATAAAATGTTACCTTTGCTGATATAAAGTGTACATAATGTGTCCACTGACGATCCGTTCAAGACAATTCCGTGTATAGGATTTGAAATGTTGCAATAAATGTCCATTGTTATTTTATCCACAAAGACATTTTTACATTCCACATTTTGTGTTGTGACGTCATCGGGAAACTTTATTGAAATACTTTCTTTTTGTAATTCTAAACATGCAGGACATAAAAAATAATTTATTATAAATGACTTTATTGTCCATGAAAATATATAATTAAAAACATTAAAATAAGTAACCCAATAAATAATAAGCCAGATATTGAGAGCATAAAAATTAATCAAAGGTATACAAATAAATTCAATTACGACCATTGCCGACTATAATCCTCAACCACGTGAAGTAGATCTTAGAAGCCCATTTGACATCAAGGGAGAAACTAGAACCTGTAAGAACTGCACACGTTGTATCATCTCCATCTGTAATCGTTGTATTATCTTGCGATGTGCCACCGGTAAGTGTAAGTTGTGCATCTTTCGCTAAATCAGCTGAAATAAATTATATCTGCCTGTTATGAAAAGTTTGCAATTTAAATCAGATACAAATAAGTGTTAAATAAAGTCGAGCGTAGTTGCATTTTGAGCTTGTTTTTTTTTTTAAATGTAAATATATCAAACAATAAATTACACTATTGTGACAATATAAAGAAATAGTTTTTTTTTGTGAGAAAAATGTGTCCGCAATAATGTCCCGTCACGTTGTCCCGCCATGATGTAATAAGAAGAACTTTCAGGAAGTAAATAGAAGTAACAGGGCATTAAATAACGACCTCTTTTAAGCATAATACCAAATAACTCGGTTATTAATAGCATACTGATACATTTTATGAAATGAAGGAAACAAAGTTTTGGGAAAACCTGAAGAAAAAAAAACACTCAACAAAACAACGAACGTGTCGGTAAGAAGCCTTCATCAACAAACACACAACAGTACAAACAACATTTGAAATCTAAACATTTAGCTTTAACGTACATCCGAGTGGACAGCAGAGGAATTGTTGAGCCATGCTATAATAAAAATCACTTTCAGGAAGTAAATAGAAGTAACAGGGCATTAATTAACAAACAAATACTTAAAGGAAAGTAATTTTTTTTCAAGTTATACTAAAAAACTCGGATATTAATAACATACTGATAAATATTATGATGTGAGGGACACGGAGTAATATTTTAACATGATGCATAGCTGATGAAAATACTGTCTCCAGGTAGGCTAGGTCCGGAGAGTGAGCTTTACGATTTGAGCAACACTGTCCCACTTTAAATAAAAATACAGGCTGCTATTGAAGTCGAAAATGCATTGGTCTTATGTACGTGCGAAGAAGGAACACGACGTTGGAAAAAAACAATCATTTCAATTGCCTCATCCTTAGACTGGCAAAGACGATGTCATTAAGAAAATGGAGTTGAATCCAGACAGGATTTAAGCAATATTGTTCGTGTTTAGTGATTTGAAGTCACGCCTATAGCTTGCTGTTTTGAAGTCAAGCCTTTTCTTTTCTTTAGTGAATGCATGACTAGTGTTAGCTGTTTTGAAGTCTATCCTATTCCTTTCTTTTGTGAAGTAATGACTAATTTTTGCTGTTTTAAAGTCAAGCCTATTCTTTTCTTTCGTGAAGTCATGACTAGTGTTTGCAGTTTTAAAGTCAAGCCTATTGTTTGCGGTTTTGAAGACACATCTATTGTTTGCTGTTTTAAAGTCAAGTGTGTTGCTTGGGAGAACATTTGAGAGAAGTCGAAATCTAGTCCCATATCCCCTTTTGATAAAGCACATACGTCTAAATGTGCGTTCAGTAGCACTGTCAAACGTCCTTGTACAAGGGCCATATCTCGGTGCGTTTGTCTTCTGATTAATGAAGTGTAAGTTATTTCTCGGGGAATTCCTGACGGAACACAAACATATCGCACCATCTCATTTAAACTTCTTCATCCAAAACACTTTCCTTTGCGCACACGAATCCAATCATTACTCGTGGCACTGAATGCAAATCTTCACCCCACTAAATGAACACATCTATAAAAATCAAACATTTCCCAATATTATTCCTAATAAGCAACATCCCACCAGCGAAGAAGAAAAACAACAAATTACAACAATAAGAATTTGAAGGAACAAAATTAAGTGAAAACGCAAACGTCTTGGTACATGTTTACACAAGCACTATATGTTTTAACGTTAAAATAACCCTTATTTAACAGGATAATTGTCTCCATAGTGAAAAAAATAAATAAATCAACTGTGTCATTCCTCATCATAATTTGAAAATGCACTAAAAATAAAATTTATCAAATAATTAATGTTACCACTGAAACTCCCCGTATATACAAACATACTCTCCAAGGTACTGTAGTAAAAGTTAGTGAATTAAAAGTCCAGAAAGAGACATATTTGAATGAGATCTGAACTCTTGCAAATATAAATAATACAAATAGCACGGTCCAAATGTTTTAACCCCTCGGAAAAGATGACCAGAATTCAGAAGTTCTCGTTCAGACAAGAAAGACAATGATGAGACCATAAAATAACGCCATCAAACTAGAAAACTGTGAGAAGTGTCATCCAACTGAAAATGTACAAATAAAATTCTAAAGAGATAAGTCCAACACCGAAAGCCGTAAGTAATATTTTTATTACTGTGAAAGTCTGATTGCCCCTTCTAAATTTGTTTTAGGTATTTCATTTCAAAGTCGAATTGTATAAATTAACCCTCCTTACTTTAGAAAAATATTTAGAGGAAAGCTGCAGTAAACACGTTTTTATTCAATTTTTTCTCATTAATTACATGAACGAATCAACTGAACAATCCAATAGTAAACACAAAGTCTGCCTTATTACTTTGCATTAATGTATTTCAAGAAACATCCTTTTAGTACCAGTGAAATAAGATATAAGAGGTAGTAAATCTTGTACAACCCATAAAAAAGAAACTCCTAATAAAAATCATATTAATATCGACCAAAAAAAAAAGATGTAAAACAGCCATCTAAAGTTTTATCAGTTGTATAACGTTACGAGTGACGATGATTTTTTTTAACTAACAAGTGCAATTGAAACCATGGCTCCAATAAAAATGTCATGTTCTCATCTTTGTCACTAAATTGTTTCTAAATGTAAGCAAATGAAATCCAAATATCCGCTTTTACTGCCACACGCTACACGATACTACATGATGAGAGACAATAAATGAATGGAAATAAATTTAAAAGGTTTAAAGTCTGGTAGGTTGTAAATGGCAGAGCATCTAGGCCCAAGTAGAATGAGGGAGGAAATTATAAAATATTAGTCCTGTAACTCTCATTGAATATAGATATTGAAAGCAAATGTAATCACAACATGTTTACTACGAATTCCAATTGGTAAGTTTAAATGTTTCTTAAAGAATATGAAGAAAATGTTGTCTTTTGTTTTTCCTTTACATTTATGAAAGTTAGAATGTTTTCTATGCTCTAACACTTACTTTTATGCTTTGGTTATTATTATTAATAAGCAGTCAGGATTTTATTAGATGGAACCATTAGGTATAAAATATACTCATTATGTAAATTTCTTCTTAATTATAAAGTGTGCAGTGAGATATGGTGTAAAGATTATAAGAGTTGACAAAAGTATTTGATTAAAAGAGATAAGGGACACGGAGACATTGAAAATACAATAGATGGAGTGGTGAATGAAGATATGAGGTTAAGATAAAGGTTGCTAATGGGATGGATTTATGATGAGGATTATGAGTTTAAGTCAGAAAAACAAGCTATTAAAAAGTTTAAAAGGGCGAAAAATTTGTTGATATGTTAATAATAAGTAAATGATGATTGTCTGGTGAGTTAGTTTGAATGAGAATGTGTGAGAGTGTAGACATGGTTGAGCAGAGTATTGTCCAAATAGAGTATTTTAAATGTTTTACCATACGTGCTAATTAATAATATCTTACCGTACTGACATGCTGGACCAAACCATCCTATATCACATCCATTAGGACAGTCACCATTTGTAACATTACAAGCTACATCGCTCTTACAGTGACATTTGTACTGGCAGTTGGCACCAAACCAATTGTTGAAACCGCCTGATGTACTACATGCTGTCATGACCAATTGATTCAAATACATTATTTAACTTACAATGCCCCCAAAAAACATGTTACAATACACATTTTGCTTTTAAAAATACGCGATTACAAGAAAACAAAAATAAAACGAATATTAATAAATCTGACACTCAATTTAAAAAGAGATTCTACTTTCAATGCATGAAATTAATAGTTAATGAATTAAAAATAAAGGTATTAGACACCAGCTAGATTTATTTAACCAACACTTCACTAAAAATAAAGTCTATTTAACAAAAAGTATATATCAGACTGTCTTCTCTTTTATCTAGTGATACGAATGAAAAGAA